TGGGGGGTTTTGGGACATCGTACAATTTTAGTCACTAAGGTGACACCGTTAATTGTAAAGACAATCGATTGAGGGAAAAAACACTAAACACATGACATGATTATGAAAAAGAAATTAAAAAAAGAAAGATTTCTCTTGGAGAAAAAGATGTTTCTGTAGAAAACCCGGACTAAAAACATCTTTATGTTCTTCGATTAGTAACATAAATGATAAAAAAAAATCATGAAAAAAGATAATGGTAATTGATATCAGAGATTTTGAAAGAGATAGAAAATATATGTAAAAATATAGCGATGAATGTATCATTATCAATATCAACAATCATTAGTGCTTTGTTTATGATTAGTAATTACTCCTTCTGTTCCATAATGTAAAATGTTTAAAGATTTTTTATTTGTTTTATTTTATAGAATGTTTTACAAGTTTCTATGCATATTTTAATGTTGTGAGATACTTTCGACTCTTTAAATTTTGTAGTCTTTCACATGATTGGTTGAATTATATTTTCAACTAATTATTAAATTATGTTTTGTTTATAATTGTCTTTTTCTTAATGCCCGCGCATTCAACCAAAACATCTTATAAAATTGGACGGCAAAAATATTAATTTTGTATAGTCTTTACCATATATCATTGCGGTAAAGAAGTAAAATTTAATTTAGTTGTCGAATCTACATTTTTCACATAAATTTCTAACGCAAGAAGAAAAATGTGTTCAGTCAAAATTAATCTTTAGTTTAGACAGATTACATAATAGACTCGTTAGTCCGGTTCAAATTCATTAGCAAATACAGCTTCATTATTATTTCTAAGCTACTAATTTTATAGATGAAAATTTGAGGTTAACGAAATATGTAATTCTATTTACCTACATGTGTACAAGTAAAATTGGGATGTAAGACCTTTTAATTGCAGTGGCCCAATAGACCAAACTCAAAATATATTCGACCCATATAAAATCACTAGAGGATGACATAATTATTATCTCATTCTTGGTTAATTTGTACCACTAATTATATATATACTATTATCTCATTTTTCCTTTGATAAAGGTCGCATTATAAGCTGAGAAGTAGTTTTCATACTAATAGGGACCACACACAGTTTCAGATGTGAGATGTCTTAAATCTTAGGCTTAAGAAAACGACAATTCTGTCCCAGTTTTATTTGTTTCGACCAACTTTGTCTCTCTTAAATCTTTATTTTCTTTCTTTACAATTTTTATACACAAAACGTATGTTTTTTTAAAAAATTTCCTTGCGTAAAACAAAAGGTATTTTGTTAACAACTACACAG